GTAAATAAAGGGCTGTTGCATTCTGATCTTCTGATCTGCTTAAAAGGCAAAATAGCTCCTTGAAAGAATGAAGCAAATGGCAGAAAATAAGATTTCCAGAGACATGAGAAAAATCAGGCGCAACTGAGGAAATAGAATTTGAATCTAAATGTGCATTTGGCCAAAAATATTCGCATATGGGTTATGTCATTTTATGTTCAATTGGTGTTAAATTTTGTGGCAAAGGCATGAAATCAATTATTTCTGCACACTCGGTTGACGTCAGTTATCTTGTTAATATGGGAAAATGGACAGTTGAGAAAACCACTCCACTATAAACTATTTAGCAATACAAACAATTCAATCAATTCACTGCCGAATTTGATATAGTTCAATTGTATTATATAAAAATGATGAGCAATTTGTGCGTGGTATATCTTAATGCGTGCATCGCTGAGTGGTTAGGAAATTCGTTTTCCGACTATGGGACCCGAGTTCAAATCCCATCGATTTATCAGTAAGGTGACTTCTTGATGTTAGCATGCAGTACGTTTGGAAAGTGCTTGGAAAGCCACACCACGGGTTGACTTGTGAGTGAAAGTGAATAGTATTTGGGAGAATCAGATCCCGAACTACCGCCAGTAACGAGGAACGGATGTCTCCTCGAGGAGGCGCCGTACCTTGAGAGAATATCGAAACTCAAACTCACATCCGAGCTCAAGTGGAATCCTTATATACCATTCATCGCTAAAGATGCACGTTAAATGATCGGCTCGCTGTAACCACTCCAGTAAACACTTGACTCCTCATGATATCCTTACCCCCCTCTTCGACCTGACTTGTAATTCCAGAATTTCCAAGTCAGGCCTAAAATGGTGTACTGTTGCCATATTTGGGCAGGAGCTGCCGTCCTCACTACCCACTCTTGACGGAGTTCAAAAACACCTTCGAGAGGACGAAGTCAATCGCTGTTCTTAGTAATTAAATTACTAAGAACAGCGATTGACTTCGTCCTCTCTTTACCCATAAACACATGCAAAATGAGCATAAAAGAAGGAAAGGGTTCGAGTTCTTGTTGGAGAATAATTATTTTCCAAACTCCAGCCTCTCTCTCACAGGCGGAATGTGTCGAGTCTTTCACTACTCTATCGCGACTACCATGGAGATTGCTCGGACGAGCGACATTCCTTGGTTCCGCCATGGCTAGGACACGCTATGCCACATACATAGTAACAAACCACCTAAATTCTCTCCGAGAAGTAATTACTCACTCAAAAAAACTTCTTTCCGCGAACTATTTGTGGAACAAACTCACAAGATGATGTTCCTCGATTACTACAATGCTAATTTGTTCAAGTTTAGAGTTAATCGCCATCTTCCTCTATTATCCATATAAACTATTCCTTAACGTTATCTCTACCTCGAGCGGCATCTGGGCTTTTTACATGGTGTTAGAAATATGGAAGCCGTCGGTGGTTGTGCTAACATGAAATCACAATTTATCAATGGTTTGAGCCTGCTGATCTTGTTCAGATTTGATCATGTCAGATAATGCGATCTTTCCCAGAAACCAATAATTAAGTTCTGCCCAGGATAGTTGCAGTATGAAACACATGTGGGTTCTGTGGGTATTGAACAAACACAAATGTGCCTTAGCAGGCGTCTGCAACAAAGATTGGTTAGCCGCCCTAATAGACAGGCATACACAGATACGCGTAGCCAGCCACCATTGTATGATTTTTTTTAATTAATCGACATGTGGGACCACGGTAAAGATTTTGGAAGTAACAAAATATAAATGACTACCCCTGTACGCTTCTTTGGTGTTTATTGTTGAGTATTTTTTTTTTTTAACTGGGTTAAATTTCAAATAAAATAAAGGATTGGTGATTATAGCCATTAATGGCCACAGTGCTAAAATCACTAATCCTTTATTTTTTATGGCTTCGCTCGCATCCTTTTTCTTTTGTCTTTAAATTCGGTTAGATGATGCTAACTATAAGTGGTGACATGTGTGGCTGAAAACTTTTTTATTTTGTCCTCCTTTTATGTGTTGTGTCCCTTCGATTATGGCTCTCCATTTCTCCCTGTTTTTTGTAGCTTTCGATAACATTTGACTTTTGGCTATTTCTCAAAGACCCTGATCAGCCATCCATTTACCCGTTAAGTATGTCACGCGTTGCATTCCCTCCTTGCTCTTTCCCTTAATCCGCCCTGTGAGTATCAAAATTGCCAAGCCCTTCTTTTTCACAACGTGTCCCATGAATTTCAGCTGCCTATTCTTGATGTTAATATAAGGTTTCACCTTGTTTGCGAACAATTATAATAGAATAAGTACAATACCCATGTAGCAGTTCATTTCTATGTCGCTACAATTTATATCTAGAAAGCTGTATTACCGAAATTGACCACCCTTCTATCGTAAATAATAATTACAAAGATATATATATATATATATATATATATATATAATGATTTAAACGATGCCCATTTTTATTGATAAGGTAATTTTGGTTAAAAAATCAGGAAATGTTATTATTTTAATATTAGTACATACATATCGTTAAAATGTTGAAACTCTATACCATATATATATATATATATATATATATATATATATATATATATATATATATATATATATATATATGTGTGTGTGTGTGCATGTGTGCGTGTGTTTGTATTTATGCGTAAAGAGTGGTGTGCATAAGCACGTATGCGTTTAAATCGTTTTATTTATATTATATATTTTTGCTGTTTAGCTTTGGGGGAACAAATTGTTTATTTCAATCCATTTATTTTTAGGAAATCGGAAAGGTGGGAAACAAGGTCATAAAACATCTCTGGCTTTCGATTTATATATATATATATATATATATATATATATATATATATATAGATAGATAGATAGATAGATAGATAGATAGATAGATAAGGAATAAGATAAGACAGATATAAACAGGATGAGATAGATAATGAACAGACTGCGATTTATATATATATATATATATATATATATATATATATATATATATATATAGAGAGAGAGAGAGAGAGAGAGAGAGAGAGAGAGAGAGAACGACAGATAGATAGAGAAAGATGGATATAAACAAGATGAGATAGACAATATAGATAATGAACAGACTGATATATATATATATATATATATATATATATATATATATATATATATATAGATAGATAGATAGATAGATAGATAATATTAGTGGTAAGTATACACATACATATGCAAAAATATAAATATATATACATACATACATACACATATATATATTTTGTATAAAGAAAAATTCCAAGAGGATAGAATTCAGGTAGAACTCAATGTCCAGGACAGAGTAAGGATATAATAAAAAGGCTTAAACACTAATATTCCATGGTTATAATTTGTAAATACGATCCAATTCATCAGACCTACAAATTCAAAAAGAAAACAGAAAAAACAACTCCGGAAATAAAAAATAAATTCTAGAGAGAGTGTAAGTATGAGAGTGTGGGAGGAATGTGAGAGCTAAAGAGAGGGGTAACAGACGAGAGAAGGTGGGGGATTAAAATTTAACAGAGAGAAGTTTTAAAGAGGGGAGTCACAGACGGTTTAAGTGAGAGAAATATGAGCATTTACTTAAATATTTGTATCTATAAAAAAGAATGTATAAACATAAAAATGTATTAATATATATATATATATATATATATATATATATATATATATAAATTATTTATTTAAAAATATGATTCAACCCGCTACATAAAGTCTCATGGTTCAAAACAAGAGCCGAAAACTTCAATATAATTATTTAAATTAAATTGAGTTTAAATAATTATATTGAAGTTTTCAAGTTTTGAAACATGAGACTTTATGTAGCGGTTTGAATCATATTTTTAAATAAATATAATATTATATTTATGCTCTACTTTGTATCGAGCACTATTTTTAAAAAATAATAACTAAAATACTAAGGGACTTTGGATTATTTACCTAACCAGTTCCTTCCTATTTTCTATATATTTTCACATATTATATATATATATATATATATATATATATATATATATATATATATATATATATATATATATATATATTCACTGAAAGGCATGTTACACCACGCTAAGTTTAAGGTGGTAGTACCATGTGAATATGGGACCAGGGGCAATCATTCAACTTCTCTTGGTATTTGCGCATTTGGAGACGCTTTAGGCGTCAGGGTTTAACCCTAACTCCTTCCTGGAGAGGGAGATATTCTCTGGGAGAATACTACATATTCACTATAATGGGATTTTGGCTGGTCAAGGAATCCTACTGAATTCATTTCTGACGTAATAATTCAAAACTTCGTCTTATTTTACTAAATGAATATAAAGCTCTCGAGAGGGGGACTAATGTTTTACAAACTTTTAATTGAGCCTAAATAGAAGTTCGATCTTCACCCAGTGAAATATTCCCATGGTTTTTCCTCAAAGTAAACGTTAGTAAATAATGACCCATCATAACTGCATTTTTTTTACGATATTCTAAAGCATCTTTTTTTTTTTAAAAAAAAAGTTTTATTTAATTCAACAAACATGTTCTCTCTGGTTACTTTTTTTAATTGTATTTTTCCAGTTTTCCAATAAAGCGCTGTACATTCCGATCAAAATTGTAGATGAACTGTCTGATTTCATCCGGATATACATCTAATTCAAAAATAGGAAAAATCAATAAAAAATATAGACAGACAAAACTAGTCGTTTGAATTTAACAAAACATGTTTAAATGAACTAAATACCTAAATAGATGTTTTTTTCATAAAAAAAAATGATCCTCGGTAATCTTGTAGGACATTGTTAATGTAATGAGTTCAACACTCATTGATTACTACATTATTGTAGCCCTGTGCCAGGTTAATTAATAAATATCTACAAGTTAATTAATATTTACTGAGCGTACACACCTGTTGTACAGTCAAATTTAGTTGGTTAACTTCGCAAATCATTACAATGATAGTGAATCCTCTCCTATTCTATGATTTCTCTGTGCGGAAGGTGTTATAAAGTGGAAAATAGATAGATAGATAGATAGATAGATAGATAGATAGATAGATAGATAGATAGATATATAGATAAAAGAAAGAAAGAAAGAAGGCAAGAAAGATTGATGTGAACAGACCGAGATAGATAGATAGATAGATGAAAGAAAGAAGGCAAGAAAGATTGATGTGAATAGACCGAGATAGATAGATAGATAGATAGATGAAAGAAAGAAACAAAGAAAGAAAGAAGGCAAGAAAGATTGATGTGATCAGACCGAGATAGATAGATAAAAAAGATAGATAGATAGATAGATAGATAGATAGATAGATAGATAGATAGATGGATAGATAGGCAGGCAGGCAGGCGACTATACTCCATTTTGGTATGACCTGACTTTAGTAAAGAAATAAAAGAAGGTGACAGGTATTTTCCGAGCCGTTACAAGGAACCACCAAACATTTTCCCAGCATCTTTATCGATAGAGTGTCTGATATGATTGGAAGGAAATGCGCGGTAACATTATAAAGATAAAGAAGAAAGTTGATTAGAAGAGGGTCAAGACTGAAGTGTCCATGGTAGCTTCCACGCTCGAGCGAAATTTTTTGGGGAAAAAATCTAAGCAGAACCTTTTGTTACGTTTGAAACAGCGAAGAAATGAGAGCAATTTGATTCTGTGGAAAAGGCCTGAACCGGTGTAAATAAGGAATGGAGCTCATGAAAATATTTTCTATGAGAATAGTGATAGATCATTTATAGACAATGGTGCGTCCTTTGGAAAGAGACTGAGGAGCTATTAATTTGGTTTTAATCCCAGAAGACTGTATCAAAGATTTTGAACTCTATTAAAAGCCGGAAATAGAGGTTTAATAAAAGCCATATTTTAGAATGCGTGTTTTAATATCAAGCGTATAGGCTTTCCACACTTCAGTCATTGGCGTAACGCATTCTTCTTTTTTAACTTCTAAGTTTACCCTTGTCCAGCTCTAAGATAAACTTAGTAAATAAAAATACAGCATGATACCCATCCAGATTCGATTATTACGTATTTACAACTTGAGCCAGATGAGATATATTCCTTATTCTCACCAGTTCAGACCTTTACAGCTTAGACTTACCATGTCATGTACACAGGGTCGAATCATCCTCATTCCATTCTAAGACGAAAATTCCGTTCGGATGGCTTCTTCTCAAATACCGCTACTTTATGGAACAGACTCCTGAGAGGATGCTTCCTTGATCGCTACAATCTTTTAATGTTTCAGGTCAACCGCTATCTGCTTTCAATAACTTCATTCAATAAACGTCTCCTTTGAGTGGCTCTTAGTTCTTAGCTGAACAAGAGTAAAAAAAAAAAAATAGAGCCAAGAATTGATCCTAGCTCATGATCAAGATATCATATGGAATTTTAAAGAATTCATTTTCATCAAAATAATTCTTCGATTTGTACCTTCCTTAACACATTGATCCCCGAGTTATCATAGGAGATATTTGCTGATATTATCTAAGGCAATGATGATTAATTGGTAGTACTTACCTTCTCACCAAACAAAATGCTACAGACTGTACTGAATTACATGAAACTGACAGCAGAAGTTACTACTAAAAAGCTCGATTCACAGATTGGCTTACGCTTTTCGCAAGGGCATTAAGGGAAGAAAACTATAACTACAACTGAACTTGGTTCACCGATTACTTAACCATCAGGTCAGCTGTCAACGTCGCCATCATCTTTAAGCGAATATGTCATCGGAGTACAAAGTAATCGTTTTGCCTATCTGTATTGTAAAGCCTTTAAAAATCCTCGCATGTTTACGTTAACAATATAAAGGAACGACTCGTATCCAGGTAAAGGATAGATAGATAGATAGATAGATAGATAGATAGATAGATAGATAGATAGAAAGAGAGAGAGAGATAGAGACTGTTCCCCACCGTATCACAGCACGTGCATGCCCAGTGTGCATGCATGTGAAAATGGATTTGCGTTGCAGTTTGGCGCCACTTTGTGGCAATACATCTTCCGTTACTTTGAAATCTTATCTGGCCATTTGATGAAGACAGAATTTGAACGATTGCGATTTCGCAGCAGGGGGTCTCGGGAGTGGTGAGGGTAGGGGTCGACGTAGCGACTGTGAATATTACAGGGGGTCGTTTATGTTTGTGTGTGTGTGGGGGGGAAGCGGTTAAAGGGAGGCGGACGTCGAGAAAATGGTTTGGACACTATCCCAAATTATTCCCTGACTTTCTTTGTAATTAAACACGCACCCGTACACATACACACTCGTATATACACACAAGGAACGTACGCGCGCGCGCGCACACACACACACGTACGGATATACACATACTCATACACGTACTCGTACACTCAAACACGCAGCTGCACACGTACACGTACGAACACACACATACTCGTACGCATGTACACAGCCCCCCCCCGCATACACGTCACGCACAAACACTTGTACGCACATGCACACGTACACACAGAACACACAGGCGTTCTTTTGATTTCTCAGGAGATCTTTGTTCTACACGTGTGCACATTTTCTAATGATTTACGAGTGCACACGCACATACATGGATAGTAATATATATAATAAAATATTGATACTATTATTCAGTTTATTCATATGTATGAACGTTAGTTTTTTTTTTTTTCTTACACACAAGCGCATGGCATATAGAGTGTTAAGCAGAAGGAAGGAGATGGCGAACGAAAAATATCCTATTCCTTATTTTTGAATCAAAAAAGATTTAAATTTTCGACCGCCTTCCCGTTATCTAGAATGACTATCACACAACGTCCCGCAAAGATTCGCTGGTGTCACGAAAGGAATTGACTCCTAAGCTCAACATAATAACCATGCCTTTTAAAGCTACGGTCAGCCATACGCACGACCCCGCGAAACAAATCATCGTGTAATGATTGCATATAATATTCTTAAAGTGAAAAAAAAAAGGTCGTGCATGGGATTAATCCCGCTCTCTGACCAGCACAAGCAAAGATCCGAAGAGAAGAGAACATAAAAATCATTGTTTGATAGATTTCCAAAGGTGTTACATCCTTTTCCTAGGAAGATGTCCCAACAAGCACTAAGGGTTCCTCTTCCCAACTCTCTGTCTCTCTTTCTCCTTCTCACTCACTTTTCCTCCCAACGGTTCATATTGATATCGTTAGGGAATCGATGAGTGACTCTCATCCGCCGGGGTCATTATTTGCCCATAACTGGGACCCTAACAGGTGCTACCACTCGGTAAATTTGGGAAGAAATACAATTAAGAGGTGGTTACAGGTTCCTCAAAACCTCCATTCTCACGATCAGAAGAATACCTGTCGGATGTAGTTTATCGTCGTATTCTGGACAAACATACATACATATATGGTGGAAGTCAGCTCAGGATCGAGCAAGACCAACCTCTGAGTCATATCTCCCAAACAAATATTTCACAGGTGTTTGTCCAAGAGCTTCATGTGTGTTAATTTTTTGAGTAGACGAAATGTTTCACAGTGTTAAACAACTGTCCAGCACAATTGGCCATCGTACCAGGGGCAGAAAAATCTTGAGATGACCAAAGACCAAGTGAGCTTCAGGTTTATTTATGTACGATTTTCCCTCTCCGAGAAGGATGTCTGAAAAAGAACCGAGGCTTCTTCACTCACAAGTGTGTCCTAAAAAGGAGAAGGGATTCTTCACACTTAGTTGTCTAACCGCGCGTCTGGACATCAATCCCCGCATAATAGGAATCTATGCATAAGCATCCATAAGAAGCGCATCTGCCTGTAGACAGATCTTGTCTTTAGACACGTTTTGCTTTTTGTTGTGCGGAATGTCATGTTCCACTCTTCACCAGCAGAAAAGCTGGCGGGAAAACTAACTTTGTCGCCGACCACCCATCCATGTAGCAAGTTGTACTGGATTACATGCTACCAGTAGCTGGACTAAGACTAAAGACTGACCTGAATACACGCATATACACACATACATGCATATATTTTACACTGGACGTCTTAAAATGAACCATTTATTACCGTTAAAATAATCTTCGTTTAAATGATATATAATAGAAATCGATCTATAAGTAAGAAAAATATGTATAATAAGAAATAGAAAATTATCGTCAAATATGTACAAAGCCATTTTCTTTATTATTGTTGACTAGCAGTAGAGCCCGGCGTTGCCCGGGGATGTAACAGTAAGAGATAGATCAAATATCGACTGAAAAATAAAATTGACAAAGATTATTGTTTAAGGTTGACGGACACGCATGTCTTAATTAGTTGTTTTGTTTTTGTTTTTTTTTACGAATTGGTCAAACCCAAACTCAAACAAAAACATTGTTTTCAATCGTTATGAGTCTACCGATTGAAGAGAATTTTATTATAAACAATTGCCGTGTAAATGGAATTTTTTAAAGCATTCTGAATGCACAAATAAAGAAAAAAGTGTGCAAGACAATAAGAAACACTACCTGCCAAAACAAAGTGAAGTTTTGTTGAAATCGGTTGAAAAATGTAGGAAATCCGATCCCATATATAAACGAAGACACACACACACACACACACACACACACACACACACACACACACACACACACACACACACACACAACCAACCTGGGTTTTATAATAAGTATAACTCGATAGGAATTGTCCCCCTTTCATTAATGCCTCTTAATCGTGTTTTCAAATTGATTTCGTGCAAAAACAGTTGTGTTTTTTCTAATTGTTGGCACTGTCAGAACCACCGCAAGGTAATTTTACGTAGTCCTGTGAAGTTTTGTTAAAATCGGTCGAAAAATGTAGGA